AGCAGGGTCTTCAGGAGTTTCTTGAAAATTGAAAAGGAAGCCCCATAGTGCTAGGTCGGTCATTCCACATTTGCGGAACGATGCATGAGAAGAGTCTGGATTGTCCTGAGTGTGGTGTAGGCACTGCTAGCCGACGATCCTGTGATGACCGGAGCAGCCGGGCTGAGGCGTAAGCCTTTGCAAGAGGATTCAGGTAGATGGGAGCCGTACCATCTCGGACTTTGTATGCTAGTGTTAGCAATTTGAATTTGATGCGTGCTGCTAGCGGTAGCCAGTGGAGCTCAATGAACAGAGGGGTGACGTGTGCTCTTTTTGACTGATTGAAGACCAGATGTGCCGCTGCGTTCTGGACCATTTGAAGAGGTCTCACAGTACAGCCTGCAAGACCAGTTAGAAGGGCATTGCAGTAATCAAGGCGGGAGATGACAGTAGATTGCACCAGGAGCTGGCTGGCATGTTGTGTTAGGTATGGTCTGATCTTTCGTATGTTATACAGCGCAAAGCGGCATGAACGAGCAACAGAGGCAACATGACCTTTAAAGGTCAGGTGTTCATCAGTCACAACACCCAGATTTCGAACTGCCTATTCTTCTCTAGTTTCTCTTGTTCCTTTTTCCTGATGTTACCATCATTTGGTATTGCCACATCAACCACAGCGGCTGTCCTCCCTTGTTTGTCCACCACCACAATGTCCGCTTGGTTTGCCATCACCGTTTTGTCAGTCTGGATCTGAAAGTCCCACAGGAGCTTGGCTCTCTCGTTCTCAGCCCTTAGGGGGTGTTTCCCACTTTGACCTTGGGGCTTGCAGTCCATACTCTGCACAGATGTTCTTGTGCACTATGCCAGCCACTTGGTTGTGGCCTTCCATGTAAGCTTTCCCTGCCAGCATCTTACACTGTTGCTCTGGTGTTTAGGGCCTGTTCCTGTGCAGATAAATGGCCTACACATACCGTATATAGCGCCTTCACAGAGTTCTACAACCCCCAAGGCGCTTCACAACACACATTCACACGCTGGTGGTGATGAGCTACTATGTAGCCACAGCTGCCCTGGGGCCTGCTGAACACAGGCACCACCAGTTCCTCTGACCACCACCAGCAGGCAAGGCAGGTTAAGTGTATATGTGTGTGTGTGTGTGTGTGTGTGTGTGTGTGCGCGCGCGCGCGCACACACACACACACACACACACACAGGCAAATATTCTGGGTTCTTGTCATGTCAGATAAGACTAACAATTCCACAGCTTACCATATTCTGAGCACACAACCTGATGCTAATCCCCAGAATGGGGTTAACCCTGATCAAACACAAAATAATCTAGGATTTAGATTCTGGGACTGCCCAGAAAACATTTTTTTTTCATACCAGAAATAATCAAACATCTGGCTTGAGTAGAATGTAGACTAAAGCTAACAGGCTGTGTGGTCATACAGGTTGGACACATAATTCTACCGTGCTCCTCTGTGTCAGACAGTCGGTGTGGTTTTTCCAGTGACACCGCTGTATTCTTGAGTCGTTGCTCCCATTTTATATCTGGAGCTTGTGGATTAGTTATGCTTTCGTTTTGGGAACTCGTGACTAAGCTTCTAAGTCATGTTTTACTGTAGTTTGAATATTTAACATGTGATCCTGCAGGCATGCTCAGAGCTCGTTTGATTTCACTGAACAAAACCAGGTCTCTGATGTCAGATCACAAAGACGGATCTTTCTTTTCAAGTAACCGCTGAAGTTTTTAGATTTATGCCAGCTGCTCCCTGTCTCTTGATGAATTAACCATCTTTTTTATATGTCTGTAATTTTAGTAGATGCATAACAGCTTGCACTATCTTATGCACTTTTTTTCTTTCCTGAGACACTCCATTTGGACATATGCCAAACTCAAATCTATCGCAAACTCAAACTTTTAACAGGTCAATGATGAAAGCAAATATGGCATCGAGGAAGATAATTACTTCCTGACATTTTTTGGTCTCGGCAGCATGTGTTGTGTCGACGGAGTCGGTTGAGATCCTTCAGCCTCCCTCTCTGCCAAGTGTAACCTCTTGAAAGCAAAGTAGAACACATGTAAACTCTGCAGATCACACGCTCGTGCTCAGACATTAAAAGCTTCTGCAGCTGTTTTTGGTGGTTTCTGGAATTTTCAGGCTGGCCCCGTTGGCCGGAGATCTTACTTCCTAACTGGCTGTGTGTGTGTGTGTGTGTGTGTGCGTGTGTGCGTGTGTGCGTGTGTGCGTGTGTGTGTGTGTGTGTGTGTGTGTGTGTGTGTGTGTGTGTGTGTGTGTGTGTGTGTGTGTGTGTGTGTGTGTGGGAGGAGAGAGAGAGGGGCAGTGGGGCTTGTTTTTTGGGGCTGGAAGACGTTTGTAGTGCTCTAAAGGAGTGCTCCTCCAGCGTGGGAAAGACGTTTGACTTGCCTCTTTCCTCTCAGGGACTAAAGTAGGCCAAAGAAGGACTGAAGCGTTCCTCTCTGGCTGAAACGTTTGTTGCACAAGCTCCGCAGGCAGAGCTGTTCCCCTCAGGAACTTGGACAAGAAGATTTGTAGGTGCGAAAGTAGCCCGGCTGGTAGGAGTTCCTGTTCCTAAAGGAGATGAGCAGCGGCTGAGCCGATTTCTCCTAGCCTGGCTGAACAGCACAGCCACAGAAATGTTTTACTCCACGAGTGAGGAGTCGGATCTGGTGAGTTTGTATAAACATGTGCTAAACTTTTCTGAGCGTTAACTCCTCGAACAAAGAGGAAGGGCTTGAACTGCAGGAGAAAGGAGAGCATTAATGCAGGATTTAAAGGGACACCGTTCTCTTTCACTCATCTATGGTGAGTCTTTTTCTAGATTTCACTTGTAAATAAGTAGCGGCGTGCAGTTTAAAACAGAAAGATTCAGAGTTTGAAAAGAAAGAAACGTTTGGTTGTTATTTTCAAAGACAGACAGGAAACAAAAAATTAACTTTGGTTTACTCTTACAGTCGTAAAAGTGGTAAAAGAGTGGAAACAATGCCAACAGGTTCATATTTTTGCATACATAAAATTATAATTAACAGGTATAGCAGATTTAATAAAGAATAATTACAACGTAATAAAAATTATTCAGATTCAAATTAACTTAAATTAATTTGAAGCGTAAAAACAAAAATTTAGCATGAACTACAGAAATCAGACAATCAGATAATAAAGAACATATATATATATATATATATATATATATATATATATATATATATATATATATATATAGCTTTGACATAATTTAAGGGGGAAGAAGAGGAGAAGGAAAGTTGAGTTAAATTCCATTGTGAGGTATTTGTTTATTCTACAGCTGGTTGCTCTTCATTAATTCTTGAAGTCATTTAAACACAGAAGCACTTGTTTGGTTATTTTTAGACTCTGTTTGCGAGTTAATGTTCAAAGTGCCCATGTGTCTTCTTCTCCTGAAGTGTTTGCATTTTAAACTGTCACTTTGAGCTGTGCCAAGGTGGGATAGCATGTGAAGTGGTTGAGATATTAAAATAAATATTCAGTCCTGTAAAATTGAAAACAGAAAAAAGCCCAAAAACAGTCAAGTTTTGCTTAGGTTTCAGTAATAAAAAGTATTTAGTTCCTTTATTTGTTTATAAAGTACCTAGAACTGAATCGAACTTGTTTGTGGTACTTTTTCTGCTTTCTTTGATGTCCTGCAGTGATTCTTTCTTATCACACAGATCAACTCAATAAAAATTCATTTTCACCCTAATTAGCTTTTAGAATTTAATTTAAAAGTTTGAAAAAATTTGAAAGTACTTTTGTGGTTTCTCTTTTTTAAAGCAGAGGTTCACATAGAAAAGATCATGCTGAGTTTCACATGCATGCAGAATGTGAAAATATTCTTCAACCTACTTTTCCTGCATTAGTTGTGAAAAAAATAAGATACTAATAAGTGCTAAGGTCAGAAAAAGCCACTCAGATCTTTGTCACACTGTAAACCAGCATTCATGGACCCGTCCATCTTGGCTCGTGACTGCAGAAGGCCGTGTTGACTTTGTGGCCAGAAGAGAGCAGAACTCATCTTGGCTAGAAGAAGCTAACTGTTAGCATTAGCAGCTGCGCAACAGGTTCAGGCTTGTGTTAGTTGTCGAGATAAGACATCTACGTTGCAATTTTTTACTCAAGAAAAAGGAGCAAACGGCAGTAGTGGAGGAGTCGTGTTGCTGTTAGCCAATCAGAGGCCGTTTTCCACCCCAGCCTCCTCCAAATAAATTTTACTTCCTGAAACAGGAGTGCTAGAGCTTTTTTCCACAGAAAATCACGCTTAAGGTATTAATTCATACTAGATTCCCCGGCACGCTTATTGAAAAAAAACAAAGATGTAGTTAGAATAAAGCCACTTGTAACTTGGCAGCATTAAATTAGGAGAAACACTGTGGAAAGGCTTGTGTCTCTTTAGCAGCAAGATCAATGTTTTATAAACCACTGTTTGGGTTTGAAATTGGTTCAGAGTATTGCTACTTTTCAGTCTACAGAAAACAAATGGAAAAAAATCAATGATGATGAAGTACTTTTATGCATCCAGTAGCAGGACAGTTGGGTTTGTTCCAAAGAGAATGGCGAGAGATTCGTTCTGCTCTCTGAACCAGTTCTCATCAGTCATCTAACGGCCGGGTCCATACAGCAAATCGTCTGAATATTGATGACACAAGCACAAAATAGCAGCGCAGAGCAGCCTCTGCTCCTTTTTTTACTGTGTCATTTTAATCACCCCGTATCCTGTTGTGGTGCTGCCTTTCTTCAGAGGGATTCTGCTGTGATGAGACTCGATGGGGACGTTTCAGTGGACTTTAAACACATTGATGATGTGGTGGAGGATGTTTCAGGAAAGAACCGCCCTCTTCGAGTATTGAAAAAATGTGCATGAGAGAACACCCAGTTATCCTCGTGCATGCTCTGTTTTCAAGTAGCTGCCGACCTTGCAGCTAACTTCTAGCAGTAAACTGAAATGAATTTCTCCAAATAGCATACCAAACTCTAGCTTACCTGTCGAGCAGAAAACCAGCGACAGAGGCGTCTGTGAGGAGCCCAACCTTCGCTTTGCGCAGGAAGTGAAAACTACCCACCAACAAGCATGAATGATTCACCAGAGTGACTGAAAATTATGCAGACCAATGGTTCAGATAATCCACCCGTAAGAAAAAGATTCTCTGCTTTATCTTTAAGTAGACATGCATATATTCATCTCAAGAAAGGAAATGTAAGCATACGGCTTGTGTAGGTAAATATGTGCATGCTAAAAGATTCAATGCTGATCTTAGGGTGTGTGTGTGTGTGTGTGTGTGTGTGTGTGTGTGTGTGTGTGTGTGTGTGTGTGTGTGTGTGTGTGTGTGTGTGTGTGTGTGTGTGTGTGTGTGTGTGTGTGTGTGTGTGTGTGTGTGTGTTGGCCAATCGGGTGTATCCCGCCTATCACCTGGCAACACCTAGAGTAGATTCCCCCCTTTCCTTCTACAACTTGGTGCAGGTTTAGCTGAAGTCTGGATGTTTCCTCTACTGTTGCCTAGCAACCAGCATCGGCTTTCCTCTAGTGTCATCTCACTTCCGCAGCTCATTTTCATACAGTTGCACACATCATTCACAAAAACAACACAAAATATCCTCTGACTTGTGGATTTATTCTAACTTTTCATCAAGCTTGGAGAAATTCTGCATTGTCAGTGCTTTCCTACAATAGCTACAGAAGCATTTCATGCAAAAATACAGGTATTCTTGATTTCACAGGTATTGCGATAGCAATAGATTTGGGATTATATTGCACAGGCCTACCTTGGTTGTAATAAAATGAGAGCTTAGTGGCACTTTTAGATTTGAATCCCAGTTTCTGGATAATTTCACTCGTTACCGGTTTATGCTAGCCTAGAAATCTAGACAAACCATAGCAGGAGCAATAGATGTTGCTTTGCAGGTCGATCTAGCCACGCTCTATCTTTCAGCAGCTCTACCATTGGCTCTAAACAGTTTTGTGTCTTGCCAATCAGCGCTCTGTTTGTTGACAAAGAAAAACTACAATGATGGCGTTGGTTCAGGAATGAAGCTTGTTTGAAACGGCTTTGACACCAACTTTGGAAAATTTAGACTTGGGATTTTCTTTGAGATGAGCAGATAGTAGTACTTAAGTCCTTTACTTAGAAAATGATGTATTTTATTCTTTTTTATGGTGTATGAAGGACTACCCTGTTGACTGATTTCAAAAGCAATGAATACGTTACAATGCTTGCTGCTTTGATTGGTCCTAGCGTTGTCCAATTGCGTGCAGATACAGTTTCTGCCCCACGATTAGGTCATTTCAATGGCTCATGGCCACTTTATATTTACATAAATAGGAGGGCTTGCCAGGCTAAGTCTAAGCAATAAACTTCCTAAATGGAATCTTTATTTATGCATGTTCATTAATTTAGTTTAATTTATTGCAGTTTTTTGTTTTTATTGCTTCTTAGAAACTAATTAATAATCTCTTGTCAAACAGTAGCAAATATAGCACCTTACTTTTTGCAGAAGAAAAACAAATCACTCTTTTGATGCAGGGAGAAGCTGAGTAGAGGGCAGATCTTCCATGTGTAGTGGCTCCAGTGTTCTGTTGCTCCAGTTGTTCCTAACAAAAACATTTTTTCATGTATTTTAACCTCACATTGTCCCCTAAATGTTCAGGGTCTTTGGGAAGTTCTGCAGAAATGTCTGGTGGCTCCATTTGGACAAAAGAACTATTGTCAAAAATTAAATTGTGAAAAAAATCAATAGTTTATGGCATATTTAGACACATTACAAACTCATATTTGTGTCCAACAATGCCATAAAAATAGCATAGAGTATATAATATATAATGGTATAGAATGTTGTACATTTCTTGGTCTTTTTTTATTTACAATTAAAGATCCAGTTTATGTCCTCCTCCATCTTTTTATTTAAAGGTGTCCTAGAATTTAAAGCAGAGGTGGGGGACTCTGGTCCATCAAGGGCCACTATCCAGCATATTTTAGTTTCAACCCTGCATCATCACACCTGATTTCAATCAGCAGGTGATTAACAGGCTTCTGCAGAGCCTGGTGAGCTGCAGAACATGTGACTCAACCACCAAATCAGAAGTGTTGAGGCAAAAACTTGCAGGATACCGGCCCTCGAGAACCAGGGTTCCCCACGCCTGATTTAAAGGAACGTTTATCTAGTTGTTGAGTACAGGAAGCTTAGCATGTCAAATATAGGATACCAAAAGGGCTGTGGGGTCTATAACCTGCTTTCCTGTGTAAATTAATATTGTTGTGTAATGAATAAATGACTCTAATGACAAATGGTTTGTTCTGAGAAAAGCTGGTGTAACACATCATAATCTTAGAGACTCCACATTAAAGTGGCATGTCCCAACCCACTTCAACAACAGCAATATATAAACGTTGGTCAGTAGCGGTTATGCTATTGCAGAAAAATGTTAGCCCAAGCTAGTGCTAAAGCTTGGTTTATGCTTGACGCATTTACTTTCCGCTTGGTGATGCGGCTCGCGGATGGACCGTGCTTCACAACTCGCAGCGTTTATGGTTCATGCGGCTTGTCTCTGCGGTGAGCCAATATTCTCCCAAACTGAACGGGGTAGCATGGAGCTCTACACGGCATGCATCCAACACTACACCATAGTAGAAGTAGAAATTACTGTTTACAACATGGCATTTCAGCATTTTTAACAGCGTTCTCGTCTTTTGCGACAGTGCGAGCTATTTCTCTCCAAGAATTATTAACAACACATTGATCACGGTGATCTTTGAGAGCTGAATCATAAAAATGTCTGTGTTTACGAACCTCTGCCACACTAGTTCTTGCCGGTCCGCCATGTTTTTCCGCGTCCGACCGTCCGCGTGGTTAGAAATTTTCCTAGGTGCGCGTTGCGGAAACTTTGGGCCGTGCGGAGGCACGGTGGAGGGGCATGGTTAAAATTACGCAATTTTGCCGTGCGGACCTCGCGGACGCGTCAAGCATAAACCAACCTTTATGCAGGCTACTGCTAATTATATCCCAAGCTACTGCTAGTGCTATACCAAACCCACTGCTAATGCTAGCCCAAGCTACTGCTAATGCTATCCCAAGCTACTGCTAATGCTATCCCCTACTGCTAATGCTAGCCCAACCTACTGCTAATCCTATCTCAAGCTACTGCCAATGCTATGCCAAATCTACTGCTAATGCTTGCCAAAGCTACAGCTAATGCTAGCACAAGCTACTGCTAACATCCTTGTTGGGCAAGAGGAAAGCAACAAAGAAGATTGTTGAAGCACACATTTCATGTTCCAGGATGTACTTGGAATATCTAAAGCATGAACGAATACCAGATAAAGCCACTCATTTTGTTCCTTATTTGCGCACGCACACACACCATCTACTGACACACACAAACAGATAACAGTTATAGCTTCAGGCAGTATCACAGAGACAATTGTGTAAACTGGCCAATCAGCACTCAGCTCTTTCTAGTACATTTTTAAGGTTTCTAGCTTTCCTTTATGCATTGCTTCTCGCTGGGACCCTGTTGAGTGATTGACAGCCTGGTGAAATTTAATTATTTTATCTGTTCATTTATAAAGTACTGGGTAAGCAGTTATTTTTCTACAGCCTGTCAGTGTCACCTTGACTCCTTAAAGAGGTTCCTTAAAGGAATCACCACTCCTGTATTGTTTTATGTAACAGATGTGCTGCCAGTCTGTTTCCCTTTCACGTTCTTGGTCCTGATACTCTGTTCTTTAAGTTCTTGCATCCCGTCTCCCGTCTCTTCCACTTGGCTGTCGTGTCTGCTGCTATTGTCCCTTTTTTTTAACGAAGGAGACACTGTTTGTGATTTCGTTGACTTTGTGTTCCATTGACTGGTGTGGCAGTGATGGACAGATGGCTAAGGGATAAAAATGCTTTAGTTCTAGCCAGGAACGAGTCACGCCAAGTCAGAAACTGCTTGCACACTCGCTCAGCCCATTGTCAGCTTGCTGCAGTCAGCTACTGCCTCTCAGCCAGAGCACAAATCTACTTTCTTCAGCCAGGATGCAGAATGAAAGGTTTATTTTTACATTTTAAGGTTGCAACAAATGATCAATTATTACTGACCCTTTAAAAATGTTGCCAGTTAACCAAATGTGAGTTTCTGATTGATGTAAATTTAGTTATTTGCGTCGCAAAATATCAGTACTAACAATTGGTGTTTGTATGACAAGCATGAATCTTGTTGGTGAAGTAAATAAAATACCAAACTACTGAACAAGCAGCAGAACAAAATCAAGTGGGATTTGAGAAAATACGTCATTGGCTAAATGTGCAACGCTCCTCCAAAGCTTGCGCGTAACCACTGTGTCGTGCAAGCCAAAGCTACTGGGAATACTGGGAGAGAAGAGGGATGAATGAAGCAGAATGGGAGGGGTGTGTGCGTAGAAAGGAGATGGGTGAAAAGAAAACATGAAATGAAGTGCACACTGTAAAAGAGGAGAGTACATTTGGTACTATAAAGACGAGGGACACCAGTGTAGATGTGAGTGCTTAGATGTGGGTGCATTTTAGCGCACCTTTATTTTCTGCATGTCTGCAGATCCCCATTTATTTTAAAGTGTATTTTTACAAAGAAAAAGTAGCAGTGGTTAAAAATTGAAGCTTTTTGCTGGGGACAGATTTTCTGGTGCTTAACCATTTCAGGCACTGCACAGTAAAAGAATTCTGTCAGATAATAGAGGCAGCACCAGCTGACACACTCACTTTTTTCACTCTGGCTTTTACCGTTTTGATTTACGGTATACGTTCTAATGTAATGACCACTATCCCATTGCACTCCGTAGAGGTCGTGGTGGGACCTCTGCTTAACAAATCAATAAAGATGGTGGAGACCAAAGGTTCACTGGCCTTTTAAATCCTCCTTCATCTCTCTTTCCTCTTCACACATCACTGTTATGAAAGGATCCAATCTGGATCTGACCCTTTTACTTGTAGTTGTGAAAGTCTGCTGTGTGAGTGGTGGGGCAAAAGGTGTTTCAAGGTTTGTTTTATTTTACCTATGTGGATTGAGCTTCTATGCAAAAATTAAAAATTCTTATAGTACCTTGAATGGCCTCGGTTTGAAGAAATAGTGCGCAGCAAGACTGAGGAGCTAACAGCTAGTCAAAGACCAAAAGTGCATTGCTGCATCTTAATGAGCAAGTCATCCCTACCAGATTCTTACTCAACTCCCACTTCATGTTTGAAAAATGCAACAAATGCTGTTGCCTAGCAGACCGAGAGGGCGGAGCCGCTAACAAATAC